TTACTCATCTTTTGCCATGCATCCTTTAAAATAATTTCATAAGTTCAAAGATAAAATCCTTGTGGGATTCTGATTGGAACTGACTTGATACAAATTAAGTTGGGGTAAGCAAGCATGTAAATATGATGTATTTTCTTTTTGTACAGTTATATCTTCCATTTTTATTTACTTAAATCTTCCTTGAAAAAAAACTTTTTGAAATAATTTCATATCATTTCATAGGACCTTTTCAGTGTTTCTGTACACCATACTACCTTCTCTCTTCCAGTTACTTATGCACCAATTATAATCTCCACTCATTGCCTTTACTTCAGATTCTCTTACATTGTCTTACCCATTACCAGTCTGGCCGTATTCCCTCTAACTTGGCTAAATCCAGGTGCCTTTCTTTATTTTTCTGTTCATCAGCTTACTGAGATTTGTAAGATAGTTCTGACCACTATCCTTATTTTCTGTTCAAAACTTTATTCTGTTTCTCTCTCCCTTTAACTGACAGATGCACCTATTTTTCTATCTTCTCATTCAACCATAAGATCTTTGTCATATTACTTTGGATCTCTATTCAATGCTGTCTAGTAGAACATTCTGTGATGATGGATATATTTTGTCTGTACTTTTCAGTATTGTAGCCATTAGCCACATTTGGCTATTGAACATTTGGAATGTGGCTACTTATTGAGAAATTGAATTACATTTTTTTTATTTTAATGAATTCAAGTTGCCATATGTGGTTAGTGGCTGCCATATTGGCATAGTTCTTTTTTTTTTTTTCATATTGGCATAGTTCTATACAACTTTTATAACTTTGTTTTGTTTTTGTTTTGTTTTAAATATTTTATTTATTTCAGGGAGAGCACAAGCACAAGTAGGGGAAGGGGCAGAGGGAGAAGCAGACTCCCTGCAAAGCAGGGAGCCTGATGTGGAGCTCGATCCCGGGATGCTGGAATCATGACCCAAGCTGAAGGCAGACACTTCACTGACTGAACCACCCAGGAGCCCCTCTATATAGTTCTTTAAAGATGGAGATCCAGTCTATAAGTCTATGGGTCATTGGTCAGGCTCTTCATGGGAACATGAATTCTGGGCTTTAGCAGTAAACTTTCTCCTTCTTAAAATTTCTCCTTAGGTCCTGTCCTTTTTTCCCAGACTTTCCACTAGAATCTTCTGGGTTTCATGCTAGGAGATTATTTACTTCATCAGGATATCTACCAGTTTGTATACTACTCATTAGTTCAACATGTGGGAGACTCTACAGTCTAGTAAGACATTTCTTCTTCCAACTCATAATGACTATGCTTACTACTTTCTGTGCAGTTCTGATTGGATTCCAGAGCTGATCATAACTTTGATTTTTAACTTCTACTCATTTATAGATTATAATAAGTTGGAAATTACACATCTTTAATTGTCTGGATATATTTTAACCCCAAAGGGTTTATATCTCCCATTCTTTGTCTTGCCATTTGACTATCAATCTATTTAATAATCTCTTTTTCGACATAACTATAATATCTGGGACTACTAATGATGTAGTAGGTATAAAATAACTTAATGAATACATATTAGTTTGTTTCATTTTATGATATATCACTAAATACATATAATAAACCAGATACTCCTAGATACTTTCTAAATTTATTATTCTTTGTTCTTATACCATATTTGTAAGGCCACCTCATTTTGCCTATTAAGAAACTGAGGATCAAGAGGTGGGTTAATCAATTTGTTAATTTGTTAAAGGTAGAATAACTAGCTAGCTAGATGAAGAAGTAGGATTTAAACTCACCTATGACCTCAAGCTCTGTGTTGTTTTCACTGTGACACATGGATGACCATTCAACTCTCTTCCACTTTGTCTGAATCCCTAACTTCCCTTTTCCCTTCAATCACTGCTGTGGGTGAATTGTCTTATTATTTTTGCTGAATGCCACCATAATACCTTAATACCATTGACTTCTAAGTATTTCTGTACTCCAATCATAATGAATATGTCTTCAATGTGTATAATACTTCCTGCTCTGTACTTTCCCAGGCTATACTCTATACTTTCCCCTGGAGTATCCTATATAGAGTTGTTTCCCTTGTAGTATTCATTTGCATAAGTACAGAAATCTTTTTTTGCTTTTTTTCAAAGAGAGTTGTTGGAGCTCCAGGCATCTCAGAATACCTGATGTTGGAAAATATCTGTAGTCTTGTCCCATCAGTCTTCTTTTACTCAGCATTACAATAGATATTGTATAAAGCTGCCATTTGCCTGGAGTAGAGAAAAGATTTATTCTTGGTAAGAGGGAATATAGTGGCTGTGGGTGATGAATATAGGAAAGGAGGTTCTAAGAGAGTTGGTTAGGGAACAGAATAAATTTCTGCCAAGAAAAAAAAAAGAACAACAGTGTAGAGCTAATGAGGATAAGTGAACAAATCCCTCTCAGGCCTTGGTTGAGATAGAACCTGAAGTAAGAGAAAATCCACGGCTGTGCATAGGAGGGATAGGTAGGGATGAGGCTTTCCTTGGATAGAGGATGTATTGGAAAGAAGATACAGATGCATAATGTGTTCTTTGCTTTTCAGTTTGTGCTGACCTGGCCTGGAGGCAGCTTTTCTTTCAACAGATGAGATGCTGTTATGGAAAAAAACTATCTAGGGCAGCCCAGGTGGCTCAGCGGTTTAGTGCCACCTTCAGCCTAGGGTGTGATCCTGGGGTCCTGGGATTGAGTCCCACATCAGGCTCCCTGCATGGAGCCTGCTTCTCCCTCTGCCTATGTCTCTGCCTCTCTCTGTCTCTCTCTGTGTCTCATGAATAAATAAATAAAATCTTTAAAAAAACCTATATCTAATTAATTGAAAAATGCTAACATGTGCAGTTCTAAAATAATCTCTATGCTTATCAAAACATGAAGACGAGGAGCTCCTGGGTGGCTGTCGGTTAAATGTCTGACTCTTGATTTCGGCTCAGGCATGATCTCAGGGTCATGAGATTGAGCCTTGAGTCAAGCTTCACACTGGGCATGGAACCTGCCTAAAATTTTCCTTCTCCCTGTCCCTCTCCCCTCACCTCATGCTCTCTCTCTCTGAAAACAAAACATGAAATTGTTACTAGAATAATCACTGTATTTTGAAAGTGTGATCATAGCCCTGACAATCAAGCTCAGTTTCTCCAGGAATTATTCCTTAACTAAACTAGTAGTTTTGATCTCTGTTTTTCTGACACTTAAACTACTAATAATCTATATCATATTAACTAATCCTTCATTATGTGTTATAGTGAATTTTTGTATGTACAAGTTTTATTTCCTTAAAGTTTAAAAAAGAAAGAAGTGGGTACCTGGGTGGCTCAGTCGGTTAAGCATCTGACTCTTTTTAAAAAATTTTATTTATTCATGAGAGACACAGAGAGAGTGAGACAGAGACAGAGACATAGGCAGAGGGAGAAGCAGGCTCCCTCTGGGGAGCCCGATTAAGCATCTGACTCTTGCTCTCAGCTTAGGTCTTATCTCAGAGTTGAGAGTTTGAGCCCTGCATTGGCCTCCATGCTGGGGGTGGAGCCTACTTAAAAACAATTTTTAAAAAAAAAATTTATAAAAGGAGAGAGAAGGACTTGTATCTCAGACTTTTTTCCTTCTGCTAGATGCTGGACACATAGTAGTAGATTCTGTATAGTTGAATATATGGGCTGATTATTTCCTCTTTTTTTTTTTTTTTTTAAAGATTTTGTTTTTCAGTGAATTCTGTACCCAGTGTGGGGCTCAAACTTATAACTCCAAGATCAAGAGTTGCATGCTCCACCATCTGAGTCAGCCTGGTGCCCCTCATTTTCCTTTTTGAGATCATTTTTTAAAAAGATTTATTTATTTATTTGAGAGAGAGAAAAAGAGAATGTGTGGGGAGGGGCAAAGGGGGAAAGAGAGAGACAAGCAGATTCTGTGCAGAGCCCAATGCAGGGCTTGATCCCAAGGCCTTGAGATAAAGACCTGAGCCGAAATCAAGAGTCAGATGCTTAACCCACTGAGCCACCCAGGTGCCCCTTTGGGATCATGTTTTATTTTTTATTTTTTTATTTTTTTTGGGGGGGGTCATGTTTTAAACTTTTTTTTTTTTTTTATTCATGATAGTCACACAGAGAGAGACAGAGAGGCAGAGACATAGGCAGAGGGAGAAGCAGGCTCCATGGACCGGGAGCCCGACGTGGGATTCGATCCTGGGTCTCCAGGATGGCGCCCTGGGCCAAAGGCAGGCGCCAAACCGCTGCGCCACCCAGGGATCCCGGGGGTCATGTTTTAAAAAATAGTTTTCTTTCCATCTTATCTCAACCAATATCCTCTCTTGAAAGTATCAAGTATTTATTTTGTAGGTAGCATTTTTTCCTCAGGGGTAAGCAAAGCTGACCTTCAAATTTCTTCTAGATACTTAAATATATATATATATATATATATATTTTATCCTGGTCCCTGATAAAATCTTAGAAATTGTTGAGCTTTCTGTCAGCATTCATTCATTTAACAAAGTGCTACCATTATCCTAGGCACTAAATGCAACAGTAAGAAGAAAAAGAAGTAAACATTAATCTCTGCCTTCATGGGGCTTTTAGTCTTAAGAATAGGACTGGAGAGTGCAGAGTGGACTTGAGACTTTAAAGACTAGAGGCAGGGAAACTGTGATTATGATCTGGTCATTCGTTCTTAATTCCTTATCTTCCCAGCATTTAGCTTTGACAGCATCTTGATACCCACCCTATATTTTACCTATCTATAAACGTGCTTCATGCCTTATATTTCCCCTATCACCTCCTCCCCATCACCAACACATGTGTCTTCCTTTATCAGCTCCTATCATTCTTTGTTCTTTCTTTGTATTTTTTCATATGTACTTGGCCATATTTGAAAGGTGTCAAAACCATATACTTTCTCCCCTCCTTTCCCCAATTAAACCATATAGTTTCTAATATAACAGTTTTTTCCTTACAAAGGAAAAAAGGACACATTTGCTTTCTTGATATTTTTCAGACTGGGAGTCTTGGTATGAAATCAAGGAATTATCTCCAAAATGGTACATTGATGAAGAGGAAATATCCCAGGGGATGGTAATGGAAAGACTTACAAGTATTGACCTTGAATATTCCAGTTTCAGAGAAGCTTGGAAATATGAGGGTGAATTTGAGCAGCATCAACGAAATCAGGAGAGGCATTTCAGGCAAGTTACAGCTCTTAAGGAAATCTCTACTGTGAAAAGAGACAATAAATATAATAATTTTGAGAGAAGTGTTCTGTTGAAATCAGTACTTTCAACACAAGAGAGAGTTCCCACAGTAGAGCAATTACATAAATTTGATATTTATGATAAAGTGTTTCTTCCCAATTCCATGCTAATTGAGCATAAAAGATTATCTGCTGAGAAGGAATGTTTGATAGATAATGAATGTGAAGAATTCAACCAGAATACATACCTTAGTAAAGATACTGGAATTCCTCCTGGGGAGAAGTCTTACAAAAGTAATGATTTTTCAAATCTCTTAAGTTTCCACTCATTACTTACTCAACATCAAACAACTCATTTTGGAAAATTTCCGCACAGACTCAGTGAATGTGATGATGCCTTTAGCTGTTATTCATTCTTTACTCAACCTCAGACAATTCACAATGGAGAGAAACCATATGCATGCAATGACTGTGGAAAAGCCTTTAGCCATGACTGCTTTCTCAGTGAACATCAAAGAACTCATATTGGAGAGAAACCATATGAATGTAAGGAATGTAATAAAGCCTTCAGACAGAGTGCGCACCTTGCTCAACATCAGAGAATCCACACTGGAGAGAAACCCTTTGCATGCAGTGAATGTGGGAAGGCCTTTAGCCGTTATGCCTTCCTTGTTGAACATCAGAGAATCCACACAGGAGAGAAACCATATGAATGTAAAGAATGTAACAAAGCCTTCAGACAGAGTGCACACCTCAATCAACATCAGAGAATTCACACTGGAGAAAAACCCTATGAATGTAATCAATGTGGAAAAGCCTTCAGCAGACGCATTGCCCTTACTCTGCATCAAAGGATTCATACAGGAGAGAAACCCTTTAAATGTAATGAATGTGGGAAGACTTTTGGCTATCGCTCACACCTAAATCAGCATCAGAGAATTCATACAGGTGAAAAGCCTTATGAATGCATCAAATGTGGGAAGTTTTTTAGGACTGACTCACAACTTAATCGACATCACAGAATACATACCGGAGAGAGACCCTTTGAATGCAGTAAATGTGGGAAAGCCTTCAGTGATGCTTTAGTTCTAATTCATCATAAGAGAAGTCATGCAGGAGAGAAACCCTATGAATGTAACAAATGTGGGAAGGCCTTCAGTTGTGGCTCATACCTTAATCAACACCAGAGAATTCATACTGGAGAGAAACCCTATGAATGTAATGAATGTGGGAAGGCTTTCCATCAGATCTTGTCCCTTAGGCTACACCAGAGAATTCATGCTGGAGACAAACCCTATAACTGTAATGAGTGTGGGAATAATTTTAGCTGTGCCTCCGCCCTAAGACGACATCAGAAAATTCATAATAGAGAAACTCTCTGATTATAACAACTATAAGAAAGAAAACAATTAGTCACCACTCAGTCCTTATTAAATATATATCAGTGAATTCTTTGGTTAATGATTCTATGAATGTAGTAAATAAGGAAAAGCCTTCAGTTTATGAGCACCCTTTATTTGAAATAGTTTGAATAGTAGACATCAGTTACTTTTGGATCTGTTCTGTGCCCCATTTGAAACTTATCTTACCTTCAGTGCATATCATTCTGATGACACTTAATCAGGGAGCAGTGGATTGGTCATAGCCTGGCCACCATCTGGTTAATAAGGGATTGGCAAATGGCCCTATTTGAGCAACTAGAACTCTAAGGGGGTATTGTTATGGATAGTAAAAGAAGATCTTTTTTTTTCCTGGAATTGCAAGTTTCAAGGATTTAAAGGATTTTTCAAGGTTAAAAACTCACCAGTAGCTTTTTGCCACCACTTAAGGAAAGCCTTCCCAAGATCAGTCTAACACAGAGGAAAATGCAAATAAGATATAGAAATCTGATGACATTGTTTGATCTTCTGAATTCAATCAAGCCTGAAGTCTATACCATCTTTTACTTTTTAATTTTTGTGATCCAATAAATTTTGTTTGCTTAATTTGAATTGGATTTTTGCCTCATGGAATTACAGTCCTGATTCATACACCCTATGTTCCCTATATAAGAAAGCCTTAATCTTTTATATGGCACAATTATCCTGAGAAACCTTTTGCTAAAACAAGTATATGGAAATTGAATACATAGACTTCATAAAGCTGAGAGAATTACTACATTTTATTTGTTGATAAAAATTAATTTGGTATTTATTAGACTCATAATAAGGATAAATTTTTTAAAAATTCACCTAGTAAAACTCCTTAACAAGCTTTCCCATAAGGAATTAAAATCATTTGTGGTGGTGACTCACCATAGGCCTTTAAAGAAAGAGTGGCAAGCTAAAAGAATAATGGATCTGTCACATTAATGAATGGTTCTTCATCTTAAAGGAATTATTTGATTTTCTGTTTTCAGTATGTGTTTAAATATACTGGATAATAGAATGAAATAGAATTGTAAATGAGGTCTTCTTTTGTAGGTAGATTGTAAACTTGGCTTAAGAAGTTTATGGGTAACTTCTTTGGAACTAGAGATTCAGACAAAGACATTACTAGCAGATAGAAAGGATGGCATATTTTCTATTCATTGTAGAAGTAAGAGAGTTAGAGCCTAAAATTTTTAGGTTATAAGTTATTACCATTCTTCAAAGGAGTATGAGTGTATAGAGCAGTATAATCCTATTTTATCTGAGTGAATGTAGAAAGGGAAACTGATGATATGGTAATTGGGCCACCTTGAGTAGTTAGAACTGTTAAAATCTTGGACATTGACTGGAAAGCATCTATAAAAACAACAGAACAAATGAATTAGGAAAGAATAAAGGATTTATATATGTGCATCGAGTGAAATAATTACTATTATAATTTATTAGTCAATTTATACTTCTATCTAATACAAATCTAAAAATTTCCTAAATATTAAGACAGATTCCCTTAAACAACTTAAACTGCAAATTTAGTAAGACTTAATACTTCAAACCTTGAGCAGAAAAAAATGTAATGATTATAAAACATTGCCACACATATTACATCTAAACTAAAAAGTCAATATTATACGCTGGAAATCCATTTCATTTCTTTATTATTTCTTATGTTTCCTAAAGGTCTAGAAATGCTTATTTTAATACTTTTTAAGAGTTGAATAGTAACTTATTTTGGAAAGCTCCCCAAGGTTACAGTAAACTTACTAGGCCTAAAGAAAAAGAGTAATGACTCAGACCAGTGAAGAGTTCGAGTTATTCACTAATTGATTCTAAGTATGGCACCTGATTTCTTCCTCTAAGGTGACATAAACCCAAGCCACTGATCCATGCTCTAGTTTTTTTTTTTTTTCAGTTAAACTTTACTTGTAATGTTAGCAAAATCTTTTACACATGCCTTTAGCATGGGAGTTTGTACTTTACAATCTGGTGTTTCTCCTCAATAAGGTATTAAATTTTATTTATCAAAAAAAAAAATAAATAAATTTTATTTATCTGCAACTATACAATCTATTGTCTTATTGCAGTATAGTGATTTGATCTTTTAGCATTATTAAAAACTTATGCTTAATAGTATCTTATAGTTATTAGGGTCATCTAGAAGTTTCTTGTCCTAAAGAGATGAGGGTTTGAGTTTGTTCAGTTAATTCTCTTTAGGACATGGACTAATTCATTTAGAACACTGGCAAAACCCTTTCCACTTGGTTATTGGGTATGCCAGTGGTGATGGAACTGTTGGGTTCCTTTTTTAATCTGGTTATTATGCTAAACATATCTTTCTGCCATGTTAGTTGCAGTTTTTGCTTGTATATGTAAAAATTTTCTTTTATATACTCTTAATTAAGCAGGTGTGTGTGTGTTTTATTGAAAAATTTTATATAGAGTACCTACTGTGTTCCAAGCTTTGTTCTAATCTAGGCATTGGAGATACGGTAGTGAACTACACAGAAAAATCACTGCTTTTTTATAGAGCTAATTTCTAGTAAAGAAGACCAACAATAAATATATATATACATATATATATATGAAAAAAATATAATATGTAAGAGAATAAATTCTAAGGAGAAGAAAATGAAGGAAGAGGTAGGGGACAAGATTGATATTTTAGATTGTATGGCCAGGGAAGGAAGCCTCTTTTGAAGTTGACTTTTGATTAAAGAGATTAAAGACCTAGGAAAGGTAAGAAATTTAACTATACTATGTATATACACACACACATTTATATGCCTATTGGAAAGGTAATCCATGTATATGAATGTTACATATATATGTGTGTATATGTATATTAAATATTTTTATATATACATATGTGTGTAATTCATACATGTACATATTACATTTTGAACTAAGTTCATTCTTACATGTATCATTCTATATTTGTGTATTTCATTTTAACATTTTTCTTTTTAGTTTCATGAATTCATGGCCTTTTACAATCTTAACACATTTCAATTAATTATAATGGAATTATTTGTGATGCTCAAATTGTCAGAATGAGCCACTGGGGGCCAATTTAGGCTGACTCTTTGCTTCCTTCATCACTGCATTGATCTTTGTAAGCATCTTTACTTCCTGGCAATATAGGATGTTCCAGACCAATCCTCAGTGTTTCTTGCCCAAAGCTATGAAGTTAGCTACCTTGCAAAGAATTTAGGGAGAAAAAAAAAACAAGCATATGTATTAAAAAGGGGATATGAGGGATCCCTGGGTGGCGCAGCGGTTTGGCACCTGCCTCGGCCCAGGGCGCGATCCTGGAGACCCCGGATCGAATCCCACGTCGGGCTCCTGGTGCATGGAGCCTGCTTCTCTCTCTGCCTGTGTCTCTGCCTCTCTCTCTCTCTGTGTGTGACTATCATAAATAAATAAAAATTTTAAAAAAGGGGGATATGAAACCAGAAATGGAAGTTTCCCTCTTAATAAAAAATAATTTCTCTCAGGTAAAGATCTTGCTAGCCTAACAAAGAGTCTAGTAAGATTGGATTTTCCCATTTACACTGTATTTTTTGTTTTCTAACATTCCTGTTACCCAAGAAGAAAAAGACTGCCCAACTCCATGGTAGTTTACTTTGGTAGGTATATATTAAGCTCACACTAATAAGAACCATATATTAATTACTGTTTATAAAACGAAGTTGTTTCAGGATTTTTGAAACACTATTTTAATAAGTTAAAAATAGCTAGTTGAAAAATAATGATAATTTAAAATTCCCTCAACTGATGTAAATGAGTCAGAAGGAAATGCTGCTGAGCTTCTAAAGATGTATTATGATTCCAGGTGTTCTTTTACCTACAGAAGATTTTCTTCCTTTTTGTTTTTTTAAGATTTTATTTTTTCATGAGACACACACACACACACAGAGAGAGAGAGAGAGAGAGAGAGAGAGAGAGAGGCAGACTACACAGGCAGAGGGAGAAGCAGGCTCCATGCAGGGAGCCTGATGTGGGACTTGATCCTGGGACTCCAGGATCATGCCCTGAGCTGAAGGCAGACGCTCAACCATTGAGCCATCCAGGCATTCCCCAGATTTTCTTCCTTTTAAAAAGTTTTTTATATCTCTTTCTGAGCTTTAAGCTTTGTGTAATATATAAATAAGTTTCTCACAGAGTTCTGTACCCTTTTAGTGGTTACTATATTTGGGTGCTAGGACTTTGGATGAATTTTGGGCAAAATTGCTGACATTATGATTGGGCTCCTTTTAGAGACACCTGGAAAAAAATGTTTCCTTTTTTCATTATGATTTCACATTGATTTTGAGTTCTTAATTATCATATTAATTTGCTGTACCCTACTAAGATCTTCTACTTTGTCCACAAAGCTCAAGACAGACAATGGTATGTCCCCTGTGGTAGAGAAAAGCAGATACCTTGAAGTCATGAGGTGAGGATACTTTAGAGACATGGAAATGACTCATCTTCCTTGTCAGCTTTCTTAAAGGCATTTGCATGGTAATTCATCACATAGTCTTCCAGAAAGAGTAGTGAAAGTATCTGTTATTTTGATTATTGGCACAAGTAGAGGTGTTGGAATTAGACCTTCATACGGATGTCAACCCTTAGGAGAAACTGAAAAGTGATTATACTTCTTTCAAGCTTAGTTATCTATAAAACTGAAGTAATAATTCCAGCCTTTTTGTTTTCATAAGGATTACTTAACAGAATGTAATATATATAACATTTAATGTGGCATTTTTTTTAAAAAGATTTTATTTGTTTATTCATAGACACACGGAGAGAGAGGCAGAGACACAGGCAGGGACAGAAGCAGGCTCCCTGCGGGGAGCCCAATGCGGGACTCAATCCTGGATCACCAGGATCACACCCCAGGCCGCTGCGCCACCGGGGCTGCCTAATGTGGCATTTTTTAATCATGAAATCAAGCAGGAAATGAATTGCCTGCCCGAAAGCCAGCCTCTCATGTAAGACAGAATTGTAAATTCAGCCCCTGTGAATTTGCAGCTTCAGAGTCGCAGAGCTTCCTCTGTCTGGACATTTGAGGCTGTTAGACTCTGCCTTCTATTACGAAAGAGATCAGAAGATATGGCTTTTGGTTTTATTTATTTATTTATTTAGATTTTATTTATTTATTTTTTAAGTATTTTATTTTTATTTTTTTATTTATGACAGTCACAGAGTCACAGAGAGAGAGAGAGAGAGAGAGAGAGAGAGAGAGAGAGAGACACAGGCAGAGGGAGAAGCAGGCTCCATGCAGGAAGCCCGATGTGGGACTCGATCCCGGGTCTCCTGGATCAGGCCCTGGGCTGAAGGCAGCGCTAAACCGCTGAGTCACCCGGGCCACCCCTGGCTTTTGGTTTTTTAAATCTCCATTTATATTTTTGGACTTCAGTTAATACTATGTAATCAACATTGTTTAGTCCAACACTCATTTATTGGTTTATTTTTCCCCAAATAATTCCCAATTCCTGTTCTTCCCCATAGGCATGCACACAGGTATGCATCCTTTAATGTATATATATCTCATAAAATCAGTCATATGTTGTATGTTTGAAATTTATATCAGTGATATTATG